ATATATAATATATATATATCGTCCCCTATATAACGTAGTGGCGAATGTGGAAAAATCGATTTTTTTTATTTGTGAATTTAAGTTGCCTTACTGTGTAGAATCTCTGAAAAAAATGAGTCAATTAGATAAGTAATTAAGGAAGAATATTAAATCGTACGGGAAATGATCGTATATCTTCATGAGTGGATTTCCCGTACGATTTAAATTGAAACGGAACTGAGTTCGGTCAATCTATAGGAGCACATGCTTCGTACAGGTCATAGGTTAAAACAATACCTATACTATTAAATACATTAATTATAATAAGAAACTTCAAACGAATCTTTTGTGCTAGTTCTAAATTACATTCAAAATTAATTTATTACCATAAATCATTATGAATAATTTGAATCATTATTGTTACTGTTATTTTTATTTTTGAATACAGAGGATTTAACAATATACGATTTATTTCCGTATTATTTGTTATTATAACGCACTTTTCGAGATAAGCTACATAATCAGCGCACACTCACGCATCTGACTTTGTATATTTAAGAAGTTTTTACGCTTACGCAGATATATTTAATACAAACTCGTAAAATATAATAATGAGCCATTATTATTATATAATTTTCCGTACAATTCTGAGCCGTTCCGGATTTTTTTTCCTTTTCTTTTTTCTCCCTGTATCCTTTATAAATATAAAAACATTTTTAACACTAACAGTATATTTGCCTTATCATGCCTCTAAACCCGACCTATACATGATCATTTGTTTCATATTTAAAATGTTTTACAAATAAAAACATTCATATTATGTTATAGTCTATATACAACCAATAGATAGTTTTATTTAAGACGTAAACATAGTATTCTTATTTTTAAAAGTAAAACAATAATTTAAACGTGGACATAATATTTACTACAATAATAAGATTAACATTTTTGTTATGAATGAATGAAATGACCTGTACGAATCATGAGCACCAAACCAGTGGTGGCGCCAGGATTTTCCAGACCGGGGGTCCGAGATCCGGGGGGGGGGGGGGCG